CTCCCCCGACTCTCCCTCCCTCTCCCCCTTGCCTACCCCTGCTCTGCTCCGCGGCACCCTGCCTGGGAGCAGTGGCTCTGAGCCGGCCCTGCATGGTTTGATCACAGGCTCTCAGGATGTGTTTGGTCTGTCACCTGGCGCCACCTTCCTGAGCTCCCGTTTCCAGAGCTGCCTGGGGACCCAGAGACGGGGCGGCCTAATAGGGGCGTCTTCCTGACCGGTGTGCTTTCCTCGTAGGCGTCCCTGTTGGACGAAAGCGGTCTCGGCGGGGCTTGGCGGGGCAGTGCCTCTGGCTCCCGTGCTGTAAGCGGTGTCTGTGTGTCTGGGTGCCGTGTCCTCTCCTGTCCACTGCATGGCCCCGGGGACACGCCGGCCCAGCTGCTGGCATGGGAGGTGACTGCCCGCCCTGGGAGGGGGCACCGCCGGGAGCCAGTGTGGGGCTGGGAGCCAGCTTCAGCTGCCAGGCTCCTCCCCCAGGCCCCCCCTTGCAAAGGGCCTTTATAATTCAGCTCTGAAAATTAACTGGCTGCAAAGTAACTTGAGTATAGGATTGAGTGTGATTTTTCTCTAGTCATCACGGATATTCAAGAATTCTTATCAACTAAGGCAGTCTAACCTGACACTATGCCAACTTAATGAATTTTATTCTAAAGAAAACTTAAATCATGTCGTTTTCTTTAGAATATAATTCTTATGCACCTGAAGTGTATTAAGTTGACATAGTGTTAGCTTTGTCGATGTCTAATTAAACATGTATTCATTCTTATACTGCACGGATTTTTTTAATAGAGCCCACTTTGTGAAATACTTTCCCCAGTTCTTAAACCTTTGGGCAGGTCATTAGAAAGCTTACCAGCTGTGGCTACTGGATGCAGTGGGCTGGCCTGTGAGACAGTGGGTGACGTGCGACTAAGTGACCTTTCCATCAGAGAGGCAGCAGACTGAGTCTTTAAGACAAAAAACTGTGCAGGGCACTAGGTGGTCAGTGGGAGCCTGGGTGGTGCCATGGTTGAGTGCCAGCTCCAGGCGTTAATGATGTCGCAGCTCAGTCCTCACCAGGATGATCAGGAGGAGGAGGAGTGGAACGGCTCCCTCCTTAGCTCCGTAGGACACAGGAGAGTTCCAGTTCCTTCCTGGATGTTGCTTTATTTGTTACTCACAGTTCTTGAGTGCAGCTGTAACTGTTGACTGAGGAACGAGTAGGGAGGGTGGGTTTGGGGAAACTGCTCACCTTGACCACAGCCCAAAAACCTCTCATGCCCTTGAGTGTTGCCACTCAGTGGCTGTTTGAGTCTAAAGTTGAAACCGATCATTCATTCCGCACGTTCTTCCGGAGCATGGCACTGGGGATTTGGCAGGGGGCAGACGCAGAGGGGCAGATGCGATGAGAGGTGGCATTCTGACGGGAAGTAGACCAGTGACGGAGACTGGCCCGGGAGAGGAGAACCGGGAGCACCAGAGGGGCAGGACCCCCGGTAGCTGCAGGGTGGATGATGCCCACACATCGTCTGGTGGCACCATGAGGCCTGTGTGCAGCGTGTGGCTGTCTGGGGAGCTGCAGTCGGAGAGCTGGGGGCAGGGAAGGGGTCTGCGTGCCAGACAGCACCAGGGGCTGTGCAGGTCTCTCAGGAGGTAGTCCTCAGAAAGTGTCGGTATTTGCTCTATGCTTGTCACCCTGGTTGGATAGTGCTGCCCGCCCCACACCTTGCTCAAGAGGAAAATAAGAGTTTACTTATATGAGAACATAATTAGAACCAATTCAGGTACAGATCAAAGATAAGAGTACATCACTTCCAGATACATGAGCCACTGGTGTTTTCTTTTATCAGAAGGGAGAAAGTTGGGGTGGAAAAGTGGATGAGTGGATGGATGGATGGATAGGTAGGTGGGTGGGTGGATTGATGGACGGATGGGTGGGTGAATGGATGGATGGATGATGGATGGGTAGGTGGGTAAGTGGATGGGTGATGGATGGGTAGGTGGGTAAGTGGATGGATGGATGGATGGATGGATAGATGGGTAGGTGCATGGGTGGGTGGATGGACAGATGGGTAGATGAGTGAATGGATGGATGGGTAAATGGATGGACAGATTTACGGATAGAGAGAGAGATACGTGACTACATAGATACATACTTATGGGCAGCTAGGTAGAAGGCAACCTAGCACTTGAAAAACCACACATAGAAAGTTGTTGTCTCAGTAAATTTTTTGATGTATTAATTTTCACCACAATTAAAAAAATGTTAAGAAAAGCACACGTGCTTTTGTACTAACCTGAAATCTCTTCATTTCTACTTGTAAAGATGGCAGAGAGGCAACTTTTTCGTTGCTAAAAAGTCAAGTCCCCGCCCCAATCTGCACCTTCTGTGCTAGAGAACAGCTCAGGTTCATCTCACAAGTAGTCGTGTTCCTCCCCCCTGTGGGGTGACTCCCCACTCGAGCTGGACTGTGGCTCTGATTACAGACAGAAAGCCCCATGTGCTGAATGTTAGTCCAGCTGTCCTTAGCCTCAGTGGGCGTTGATGTGGACGTGTGGCCACACGGCTGCTCCTCCCGGGGTGACGGAGAGCCCCGTGTGTTGGACGTTAGGCCAGCTGTCCTTAGCCT